GGAATTTTGTTGTTGTTGTTTTTAAACAGCTAAAGCCAGTTTTAAATTGTTATATGTGTCAAAGTTAATTCAATCTAATACAATATATGGCATTTAACAATTTAATGAGTTAAGCATTTTGAATATTATATTTATAATATATGATAAATGTAATACTATATAAAAATAAAGTATATAATATATTTTATATATAACATAATGTGTTAAAATAACACTCTGCAATAGATCCTTTTTAATATAATTATTGGCAGGCAATGCAATTTCCATTGTGTGGTCCAGTTTCTGAGTTCCTGAAGCTGATTTTCTGACCCCAAACAAAAATAAAAACAAAAGCAAAAAACCCACCCCATTTCTCTCTGCTAACTGATATTGAGGCAAATTAGGACACAAGTGGACGATTCTACTCTCAATAGTATAGCTGTTTAATTTGAATGACTTGAAATTCTGAGAGATTCTGAGGACCCATGAGGATTATATCAAATTTTGAAACTCATGTTGCCAACTGAGTGAGAGGCCATCATGAAATAACATTTAATTTTTGTTGCTAAACTACCCGGGTTTTATATAATAAACTATACATAAAAAAAAAAACTTTAAAAATCTGATGAGTCCTCTGAATGTTATTTTTTAATGACAGCTGAATACTCTGAGGAGAAAGTACATTAAATCCCCGTCTTTGTCTTAACATTTTATATGTAATATGTAACTATTATCATCGACATTAAGAATACACAAATATAGAAATTAAGGGTAACACAAAGATTAAACACAATTTTTTAAGTGTTTAATTCAGTGGTTATTATTGTATTCACAGATATGTGTACCATCACTACAGTCAATTTTAGTAATTTTTTTGGCCTTACCGCTCAGCATGTGAGATCTTACTTCTCAGACCAGGGACGGAACCCAGGCACCCTGCAGTGGAAGCACAGAGCCTTAACAGCTGGACCACCAGGGAAGTCCCCAATTTTAGTAATTTTTGTCAAACATAATTTTAAATGTTTTCCGAATCATGAAGACTACATGGGGACTTCCCTGGTGGTCCAGAGGTTAAGACTCCGCACTCCCAATGCAGGGGGCCCGAGTTCGATTCCTGGTAAGGGAACTAGATCCCATATGCCACAACTAAGAGCCAGCATGCCAGCAACTAAAGATTCCACATGACACAAGTAAAGATCCCGCATGCTGCAACAAACATCCCACACGTGATAACGAAGATCCCGCGTGCCTCAGCTAAGACCTGAGTAGCCAAATAAATAAATAAATATTTTTTAAAAAGGACTACATGCCATCATTAGTTAATATATCAGATTTATATACTCTTAGGGCAAGGTTTATTGTACTAACAGTGGGTCCAATCCATATTTTGATCTTTTTTTTTTTTGGTTGACTTTTTTTTCATGGTTAGCTCATTGTAATTTACCTGGTAATGTTGCTGATGAAGAGTTCATAACTTATTTTCTTCTTGTTTGCTTGTTCATGCATATCACTATTAGCAGCTTCTTTGTAAAAACTCTTTTTAAGGCACTTACCCACTCCATGAAGTTTAGTTTAGTAAAACTAGTAGATAATAAATTCCAAGAACCAAGTACATATAAAGTACAATCCGTAGCAATCCACTGAAAAGTCCCTTTGTTCACCCCTTTGGAGGGCAGAACTCCCACTTTCCCCTCAGGATACCTTAGTTACCAACAATTCTATGTGATCCCTTGGTAGCCACCAAATAAGGGAAAACCCCACTGTCTGTACGTTAAACATTAGCAAAATTGAATTCATTTTTATTAAACATGAAAATAAATACGTTTAAGTTTATTCTCTTCTCACATCAATGCATAGTCTCGCACATCCCATGAGTTGTGTGTATCCCATTTGGGGAAACACCGTGTTAGAAAATGTCTGTCTAGTCTCTGATACCCAAATTTTTAAAAAGAAAAATGACAAATATGATCAGTGATAGGAAAGAGAAAGAGAAGAATGAAGTGTAAGACTCAATTTATTTCTACTGGAATAGTTGTATCTAGTCCCTAACCAAGCAAGCCTTGCCAATGTCCTCTCTCTCCAAACTTAAACAAATTTATGTTAATATGTAGACTGACTGTGTTAAAACCCAATGTAAAGTACCTTCCTTTTCACAGTATCATTAAGGTCTATATTTGATTGAAGCAGCGAGTGGATGATTGTAAATACATCCTATTGTGCAAGTTCTGCTTGTCTCTGCTGCTTCCATCAGGTCCATAATCCTACAACCCCTTCTTCTCCTTTTTTATTTTCTTCTAATTTGTTTCTTCCATCATATTAATTGCCCACTTGGATAAATTCTTATTCTTTCCACGGTTTTGTCTTTGTACACATTTTCTGTGCCAACTTGTCCCTCCAAAGTCCTCATGTTACTTTAAAAAAATGTCTAAATCTGTTTCATTAGGTGTATCAAAACAGAGTTCCCTTCAAAGTACAAGTATACAGTAAAATGACTGTATTCATTATTTTCTTTGTCATAAAATATTACATGCCATATTTTAGATTTTTTTTAATCCCTACTGTTTACTTCAAGCGTAATTAGAAAGTAGCGCTGAGAAAAGATCCAAAACAATAATTTTATGGCATCTTATAGTAGTTATCAGATACATGATAGGTAACATAATTTAGTGGTAACTATGGGCTGTGGAGTCCAACCTGGATTCAAATCTAACTCTAGAACTTACTAGCTATGTCATCTTAGGTTTTGTTACTTTACTATGAACTTGGCCAACATACAGAAAAGGGCTAATAACCCTTTTAATAATCATCTACAGTGCTTATTCATGAGGCTAGCAGACACATAATTAGCATTACTCTCAAATGTACTTTGGTCATTTTAAGAACGAGTATCACATTTAATTGGTTCTAGTTCAAGTAATGGCAACAGCTAAGATGACAGTTGTTTGTATGCTTTGCAACTCCTAAGGTATTCAGGCAATAATTTTCAAATTAAAATATAACAAAAACTTTACTTCTTGCTTCCAGCAAATATTGATGGATAAGAAAAATCAATTCTAAGATTTGAAAACAAAACTACTGTTATTCTTTACTATTAATGTATGAAGCACTGCACTTTCCATCTTTTCGCTACCTAACCCAGCAAATGAATTTACAATTAACCAGAGATTCAATTTCTTTAATATATATATGGCTATTCAGGTTATTTACTTCTTTAGTGAGCTTTGGTAGTTTGTCTCATAAGGATGTAGCCAATTTCATCAAAGTTTATTTGCATAAAGTTGCCAATAAATATTGTTTCATTGTTGTTTTAATGTCTCTAAGGGATCTGTAGTGATGCCTCTTCTTGCATTACTAGTATTCCTAATTTGTGTCTTTTTTCTCATCAGTCTAGCTAGAGATCAATCTTATTGCTGCATGTCACAAATTTTGCTATTTGTGTTTTCATTTTATTCAGTTAAAGTATTTTCTAACATACCTATACTTTTTTGAGCAGGGGGTATTTACAAGTGTGCTGTCCAATTTCCAAATACTTGTAGATTTTTCAGATGTTATTTTTAGTCTAATTTCTTCACGGTCTAAGAATATACTTTGTTTCAATCCTCTTAAATATAGTTTTATGGCCCAGAATATAGTCTGTTGTGGTAAATGTTCCATGTTCATTTGAAAAGAATGCTCTACTGAGCCTGTGCTCTAGAGCCCGCAAGCCACAACTACTGAAGCCTGCGTGCCACAACTACTGAAGCCCACGCGCCTACAGCCCGTGCTCCGCAACAAGAGAAGCCACCGCAATAAGAAGCCCGTGTACTGCAACGAAGAGTAGCCCCGGCTCTCTGCAACTAGAGAAAGCCCACGCACAGCAATGAAGACCCAATGCAGCCAAAAATAAATAAATTTTTTTTTTTTAAAAACCTGGGGACTTCCTTGGTGGTCCAGCCTTCCAATGCAGGGGATGCAGTTTCGATCCCTGGTCAGGGAACTAAAGATTCCACATGCCACGGTGCAACTAAGTCCGTGCGCTGCAACTACTGAGCCTGTGCACTCTAGAGCCCATGCACCACAACTAGAGAGCCCGTGTGCCACAAATACTGAGCCCACACGCTCTGGAGTCTGAACGCCACAACTAGAGAGAAGCCCACACACCGCAAGGAAAGATTCCGCATGCTGCAGTGAAGATCTCACGTGCTGCAACTAAGACCTGACACAGCCAAATAAATAAATAAATAAATAAATAAATAAATAAATATTGTTTAAAATATTTTAAAAATTAAAAATAAAAATCTGGGGACATCTTTGGTGGTCCAGTTGTTAAGACTCCGTGCTTCCATGGCAGGGGGCACGGGATAAGATCCCACATACCGCAAGGTGCAGTCAAAAAAAAAAAAATCTGTTAGAGTACACCTACGTTCATAGCAGTATTATTCACAACAGCTAAAATGTGGAAGCAACCCAAGTGTCCATCAATGAATGAATGGATTAGCAAAATGTGGTATGTACATAAAATGGAATATTATTCAGCCTTAAAAAGAAAGGAAATTCTGACCCACACAACACAGATGAACCTTGAGGACATTATGCGAAACGAAATAAGCCAGTCACAAAAAGATTCTGAATGATTCTACTTATATGAGGTACTTAGAGTAGTCAAAAATCACAGAGACAGAAAGTAGAATGATGGTTGCCAGAGGCTGAAGGAGGGGTTATTAATTAATGGGCATAGACTTTCAGTTTTAAAAGATGAAAAGAGTTATGGAGACAGATGGTGGTGATGGTAGCAGAACATTATTAATATATTTAAGGTCACTGACTGTTCACTTAAAAACAAGATGGCAAATTTTATCACAATTTTAAAACTTAAAAAAACCCAACAAACTATTAGAACATACCCATTTGTTCAAATATACGCTGGCTGTCTGCTATTGGCAGAATGTACTGCTGCCAGTCCTCAACCCCCCAAGTATTCCAAACCAAATCTGATATGGCTGGAGACACTTTTTTTTTTAAAGAATGACAAAGCAGACTGGTACATGTCCTCTTACTTTATTAAATCTTACTAGAACCAAGTAAGGAACAAACACACAGATGAGTACGCTACAGTGAAGAAATCTTTTTAAAAGAGAGTTAAGAAGACATTAAAAGATAATTCCAGGTATTATCTTCAGTGATGCTTCTTATCTTTTTTCTGGGACTCCAGGTAATATTCAGCCGCTACAGCTACCACAAATGTAGCAAATCCCCATTTGAATCCTTTTAATAATGCACCAACAAAGGAAACATTATTTGCAAAGCCACCCATGTATCTCCAAGCTTCATTGCTAGAGGAAAAAAAAGGGGAAAATTATATTCACATATGACTTACATACATTCATTGAGTAAAATATATTTGATTTCCTCTTTCTAACAGACTTAAATGCAACCTTATATAAGATAATCTAAGTGGATCACAATAGGAATCTTTCTTTGGCATAAGATAATGAGATCTATATGCCCACGTTTCGTACATGAAATACAAGAAAAAACACTTGATGATTTCATATTTCACAGTCATAGTACTCAGGATTGTACAGAATTCTCAAATGCAAGGCTCACCTTGGCCTATCCATCACAGGTCAGTTGTGTAGCTTTGCTCATACTAGTCATTACAGCTCCATGGAAAGAGGAAGTTAAGAGACCTGGGTATTAATCTTTGCTCTGCCATACTAGATACACAACTTAGGCTTTACTTAACCTGTTGGGGCCTGTTTCTTCTACTCAATAATGATTACTATTTACCTTATAGCGTTATTATAAAGATTAAACAGAGTAATGTATGATGTATTTTGGCACAAAGAGTACGTAACACTCGATAATACTATTATTATTCAAGCGGATCACTGATTTTCCCTGTCATAGAAGCCGGAACTTTAGTAGACTAATTTCGTGCTCTGGCAATCATTCTTTTGAGTATCCTGAACAGAGAAGGAAACAAATCAGAGCGCTCTAGTGAGAAAAAGTCTTCTCTCGCAGGTAAGGATAAATGAGTGGAAAAAATCATGTTTTAAAGAACAAAACCCACTTAACTCTAAAAATCTGACTTACGAAAGCTAATCAAATCTAATTTAAGACACCAAAACCAGACAAAGACATTAGAAGAAAACTACAGGAGCTTCCCTGGTGGCGCAGTGGTTGAGAATCTGCCTGTCAATGCATGGGACATGGGTTCGAGCCCTGGTCTGGGAAGATCCCACATGCCGCAGAGCAGCTAAGCCCGTGAGCCACAACTACTGAGCCTGTGCGTCTGGAGCCTGTGCTCCGCAACAAGAGAGGCTGCGATAGTGAGAGGCCAGTGCACCGAGATGAAGAGTGGCCCCCACTTGCCGCAACTAGAGAAAGCCCTCGCACAGAAACGAAGACCCGACACAGCCATAAACAAACAAATAAATAAATAAATAATTTTTTTTTTTTTTTTTTTAAAGAAGGGCTTCCCTGGGGGCGCGGGGGTTGAGGGTCCGCCTGCTGATGCAGGGGACACGGGTTCGTGCCCCGGTCTGGGAGGATCCCGCATGCCACGGAGCGGCTAGGCCCGTGGGCCGTGGCCGCTGAGCCTGCACGTCCGGAGCCTGTGCTCCACGATGGGAGAGGCCACAGCAGTGAGAGGCCCGCGTACAGCAAAAAAAAAAAAAAAGAAAAAGAAAACTACAGATTAATATTCCTCATCAACATAGATGCAAATATTCTTAACAAAATTTTAGAAAATTGAATGCAGCAATATTTAAAAGGATAATATATCACGATGAAGTAGGGTTTACCTCAAAAGAATGCAAGATTGGTATAACACCTGAAAATGAATAAAATTAACTCACCATATTAACAGAATAAAAAAAGAGGTGAGTGTCTTAATAGATGTAGAAAAAGCATTTAACAAAATTCAACACCTATTAGTAACAATAAAAGTAATAATAGTAACTCATAGTAACCCAGGAATAGAAAAGAAATTCCTCAACTTGATGAAAGGCATCTCTGAACATCCTACAACTAACATTATACTTAATGATGAAAGATTGAATGCTCTCCCCAATTAGGAATAAAGCTAGGATGTTCAAATACACCACTTTTGTTCAACATTATACTAGTAGTGTTAGCCCATGCAATAACGCAAGAAAAAGAAATTAAAAGGTTATAGATCGAAAAAAAAGTAACATCTTTGTAGACGAAATGATCTTCTATGAAGTAAATTCTAAGGAATCTGTAAGAAACGTCTGCTAGAACTAAAAAGTGAATTTAACAAGGTAACAAGATACAAATTCAATATATAAAAAGCAATTATATTTTTATATATTAGCAATGAACAACTGGAAACTGAAGTTTAAAAATACTGTTTACGATAGCATAAAAAATATGGAATAAGTCAGGATAAATTGAACAAAATATGTACAAGACTGTAAGAACACTGCTGAGAAAATTAAAGAGGATCTAAACTGTCTATGGACTGGAAGACAATATTGTTAAGACAGCAGTTATCCTCAATTGAGCTAAAGATTCAAGGTGATCCCAATTAAATTCCAAGCAGGCTTTTTATAGAAACTGAAAAGCTCATTCTAAAATTTAAATATAAATACAAGAACTTGGAATAACTAAAACAATTTTTTTTTAAAGTTGGACATCTTATTTTATACTACCTGATTTGAAGACAGTGTGGTATTGACATAAAATAGATATATTGATCAGGGTAACAGAAAAGAATCCAGAAATAGACTGTACAGATACTGTCAACTGACTTTTGACAATGGTGTCAAAGTCAATTAATGGGGAAAGACAGTCTTTTAATATATGGTGCTAGAACAACTAGAGGTCCATATGCAAAAACATTAACTTCATCCTTACCTCATATGACATAAAAATTAACTCAAATGGATCATATGCCTCAATGTAAGAAAGAACACTATAAAAGCTTCCAGAAGAAGATTAGGAGAAAATCTTAGGATGCAAAAAGCACAAACCATAAAAGAAAAAAATGCTAAATTGGGACTTCAGCAAAATTTAAAACTCTTTTAAAGACATCATTAAGAAAATGAAAAGGGGGACTTCCCTGGTGGAACAGTGGTTGAGAATCTGCCTGCCAATGCAGAGGACACAGGTTCGATCCCTGGTCCAGGAAGATCCCACATGCTGCAGAGCAACTAAGCCTGTGCACCACAACTACTGAGCCTGTGCTCTAGAGCCTGCAAGCCACAACTATTGAGGCTGCATGCCACAACTACTGAAGCCTGCGCGCCTAGAGCCTGTGCTGTGCAACAAGAGAAGCCACCAAAATGAGAAGCCTGCGCTCCACAATGAAGAGTAGCCCCCTCTCACCGCAATTAGAGAAAGCCTGCTTGCAGCAACGAAGACCCAACGCAGCCAAAAATAAATAAACAAACAAATTTATTTTTAAAAAAGAAAACGAAAATATAAGGCACACTCTGGGAAAAACATCTGCAAAACTTTTATCTGATAAAGGACTTATATTTAAAATATATAGACAACTCTTATAATTCAATAAAAGACAAACACTCTGATAAATAGAATGGGCAAAAGGTCTGAATAAACATTGCACCAAAGAAAATATACAAATGACAAATAAGCATATGAAAAGATTCTCATCATGTTCATTCTTCATGGAAATGCAAATTAAAACCCAAAGAAATATTACTATCACATTCACTAGAATGGCTAAAATTAAAAGGCTGATAATACTAAGTATTGATGAGGACATTGAGCAACTGAAATTCTCATGCATTGTTGGTGGGAATGCAAAATGGTACAGCCACTCTGTAAAACAGTTTGGCAGTTTTTTATTTAAAAAAATACACTTTTCAAATGATTCGGAAATCCCACTGTTAGGTATTTACCCAAGAGAAATGAAAGCATATGTTCACACAGACTTTTAATTGAATGTTTAAAGCAACTTTACTCATAATAGCCAAAAACTGGAAACAAGCCAGATGGTCATCAACTGGTGAACAGTAAACAAAATGAGGTATATGCATACAATGGAGTAGTACTCAGCAATAAAAAAGGAACTATGGATATAAGTTAACAATGTACATAAGTCTCAAAAGCACTATGATAAGTGAAAGTGGCCAGAACAAAAGACTACAGACTGTATGATTCTAATTGAAAAAGCAGATCAAGGGTTGCCAGGAACCAGGGGTAGGATAGCACTGAGTGCAAAGGATCATCAGGGAACTTTTTGGTATTCTAGAAATATTCTGCACCATGATTGTGGTGGTAGTCACGTAACTGCACAGGTAACTGCACAGATCTGTCAAAACTCATGGAATGATACACTTAAATTGGGGTGAATTTTACTGTATATAAGTGGTATTTTAATAAAGCTGATTTTAAAACTTAAATGTAAAAGGCCATTTTCAATGATTTTTTTAAAAAGAGAATACATTGAAAAGGAACATAGATACTGCTTCCCTAGGATAAGTTCTATTTAAATTATTTAATTATTCTTACCGGCCCCATGGATCCCTTAGCCCTCGTGCAGCCAGCTTCTCCTGGACAGTTTCTAATGGTGTCCCTTCTATATTCCATTGTTTATAATCTGGAAGTTCCATTTTACTATGACCATGTTCATGTCCATGTCCATGGGCCATGTCTATAGGAAAAGATTAATTTAAGGGAGAAATACATATATTGTAGATATCAAATACCCAAGTTTACTATTTATGTTTTAAGGTAAAATTTTAATGTTTTAAAAAGAAAAGCAATATAAATACTTGAAAATTCGAAGCTAAGAAATTTTATAAAACAGTGTCTCTTTACATAACTAGTATATGTTCACAGTTTGGAAATATACATATGCAAAATATAAGAAAGAAAAATAATCAGTAATCCCATCACTAAGAGATAACCATTTACTATTTGGTTTCTTTCTTCATTATAATAATAGCAAATATTTATCATGCCCTATGTGCCAGGTGCACTATGATAAAGTGCTTTAACTGTCTTGACTCCACATTATTCCTAAAACAACTCTTTGTACTTAAATTACTATTATTATCCCCATTTTATAGATGAAGACAATGAGGGTCCAAGAAAATAAGTAACTTTCTGAAGGCAACAAAAATAGTTAATGGTACAATTGGGTTTTGAACATTGCAGTTTCATTTCAGAGCCCTTGCTCCTAACTTTTAAGCAATACTGTTTCCTTCTTTTCAGTCTTTCATAATGCATGAATATCTATAACAAAAATGTTGTACATAGTTTTGTTACGTGCTTTCTTCAGATGATTCTTTAAAAATGCGGTATTACTGTGGTTAATACATATGGATCACAGGAACTTTTTCTGTAAAGTCACATAGTAAATATTTTAGGCTTTGTTGGCCAAGAGGTAAAATCAAGGTTATTATGTAGGTACTTTATATAACAGGAGAAAAAACAAATTTCCATAAATATTTATTGATAAAATTCAAAATATAACAACAAAGTATAATTTTTTATAATACAAGTCTTCTGATGAAAAAATGCAATTCCTTTTGGGGGGGGTAACATTTTGCTTAACTGGGGCTCAAAGTTTAGTGTTCCTTAGTATCAAATTGATTGCAAATGTTCATCTGTAAAAACCCTTCTTAACTCATTGGCCACATAAAAACAGGCAATGGGCTGAATTTGGCCAGCAGGCTGTAGTTTGCTAACTCTTTTTTTTTTTTAATAAAGAAATTTATTTATTTTTGGCTGCATTGGGTCTTCATTGTTGTGCACAGGTTTTCTCTAGTTGCGGCGAGCAAAGGCTACTCTTTGTTGCAGTGTGTGGGCTTTTCATTGCAGTGGCTTCTCTTTTTGCAGAGCACAGGCTCTAGGTGCATGGGCTTCGGTAGCTGTGGCTCGCGGGCTCCAGAGCGCAGTAGTTGTGGCTCACAGGCTTAACTGCTCCACGGCATGTGGGATCTTCCTAGACCAGGGCTCGAACCCATGTTCCCTGCATTAGCAGGCAGATTCTTAACCACTGCGCCACCAGGGAAGTCTCTAGTTTGCTAACTCTTGATGTAGATCAACAGAGACTTTTTTAAAAATTTTAATTGAAATATAGTTGATCTACAATGTTGTGTTAGTTTCATGTGTACAGCAAACTGATACAGATATACATATATTAAGTATAAGTATTCTTTTTTTTTTAACATACTCTTCCATTAACAGAGTCCTTAGGACCCCTTTTTAATCGGTAAATTTGCTTTAATAAAATATGCCCCCAAGGGGTATATAAACATTTCAGCTTTCTAGTGTTACTTTTATAGATAATACAAAAATAAACTTGAGCTCAGTCCCCAGTTATATTGTTATGAATTTCAAATTAACAGGGTATGAATTAATAATGCTATACTGTAATTTGTATAAGGTTAGCAGTAGCAATTCTATAATCACCGCTTTCCAGAAATAAAACCAAACCAAATAATTATTACCACTTTGTCTACATTTATAACTATAAACAAGTCCAATAATAAGGCAGGATTCTTACACTGAATTTTAGAAGACAGAGGTAATTATTAGATAGTGTATACTAAAGACACATTATGTGAAGTGCTCATTTCATTAAACAATAGTTCCCAGAATATGGGGGACAAAACTTTACACAGTAATTCTGACAAATTAGCCAACATTTAATATTTTTATTTATAGACATGTTAAGATATCAAAAAACAGTATGTTGATGATTTTCACATTTAAAAGAGAATAAAAATGAACACCTACCAAACACAAGTTAAAACTACAACATTCACAACTTTGAATGAAACATTTAATCCATTATTTCATTATTATTTGGTGGATTCAATAATATAAAGGAAACAAATTATGGTTTCAGATTTCAGTCTGACTTTTGAGATTCAATACATTATCACAAAAGAAAGACTTCTAGAAGCATTTAATTATAATGATAAAGTGTTGGCTTCTTCTATGTTTTCCAAAAAATATTTTTTAAATAATGTTTCATTCCAAAAATCTTTAGATTACAAGAAAACCCTTATTTTGGCAAATGTCAATTCTAGAACATTAAACGTACTTGAGTATCAATGTACTTGGAAGAGAATACAAAACAAAGGTCAAAAATTTTTGATTAAATAGCTTGATTTTGAAAATGAAAATTGAAATATTACCATGGTATGAAGGCTATCTCAAAGTTACAATACTACTATGCTCAAAATATTAAGTAATTTAGAAGATATATCTTTGAAAAAAGAAAACATGAAAATATACCTATACTCATTTCTCCTAAACAAATTTCCTTTAATAAATTCAATGTATTTTCTCTTCTAATTAAAATATTTCAGTAAGAGTCCCTTCATAGGCAATTACTAAATATTTTAATGACTTTTCAAGAAGAACAAAAAGTTGAACAACACTATTTTTAGGGAAGCTTCATTTTCTCCTAAAAATTATTTCTACTTCAGAATAGCCATAAATCAAACAATGATATCCTGATCACTTGAAGGAAGAGTTTGGAATCCTACTGAAGTGCAGACTTTGGTGCTGTACAGATCCGGAATCATACCCTGAATGCACCATTAATAGCTGTAAAATCCTGTGCAAATCATTTAAATCTTGGTCAACTTCAGTTTCTTCATATAACATGAGGTTAAAACCTACCTTGCAAGATTGTGAAAATTGGGGAAAACACATTGTGATGATGTGCCTTCCACCTTTACACCCAGGTGGTGAGAATGTGATTTAACAAAACCACTGTAAAAAACTGTTTGGTATGACCTAGAAAAGTTAAACATTTGAATATCTTACGGCCTAGCAATTCCAGTCATAGGTACTGTATATATACTCTAGATCTCCACTGCCCAATATGGTAGCCACTAGCTCCTTAAATGTGGCCTATGCAACTGGGGAACTAAAAATTTTTATTTAATTTTAATTAATTTAAATTTCAAAACGGATTTTCAAACCAGTTATTGGAAAATTTTAAAGTGTGTTTGGTACAAACTGGGCATGCAAAGCTGCTTTATCAACTGTAAATTTTATGAAATATAAATGCAGATCAAGTGTTTGCATTTATGGAAACAGCATATTCTGTAAAACACATCACTTTTGAAGACAGCAAGAAGAAAATGTAAAGTATTTCATTAATAACTTTTAATACTGATTACATCTTAAAATTATAATATTTTGAATATATACACTCAGATAAAATATATTATTAAAATTAATTTTATGTTTCTTTTTACCTTTTTAATATGGCTACTAGAAATTTTTAAATAACATATGTGGTTTGTATTATATTTGCACTAGACAGCACTGCTCTAGAGAAACTCTTGCATCTGTATAACAGATATATTTTATAATCAACAGGCAAATATATAGGGACTTCCCTGGTGGTGCAGTGGTTAAGAATCTGCCTGCCAGTGAAGGGGACACGGGTTTGAGTCCCGGTCCGGGAAGATCCCACATGTCGCGGAGCAACTAAGCCCGTGCACCACAACTAATGAGCCTGCGCTTTAGAGTCTGCAAGCCACAATTACTGAAGCCTGTGTGCTGCAACTACGCACCTACAGCCCGCGCTCCACAATAAGAGAAGCCACCACGATGAGAAGCTCACACACCGCAACAAAGAGTAGCCCCGGCTCGCCACAACTGGAGAAAGCTCGCGTGCAGCAACAAGGACACAACGCAGCCAAAAAAAAAAAAAAAAAAAAAAAAAAAAAAAAAAAAAAGAAAACAGGGGGGAAAAAACTTAAAA